AAATGATGCCTAACATTCAACATAAAGATGATATAATGGACAATCCCGAACTTATTGCAACGCACAGAAACAGCCGTAACTTTTCAACCACGGTTACAAATGTCTTGAAATTTTCAAAGAAGATTCTTTGACGAGAACTTAGTAAGGCAACTAGAGACTAAGGTTCAATGGCAAACCAATACCTACTTTTCAATAAGGGAATCCAAAAGCTGTCTTTAAACTTTGTACAGTTGCGAATAATTCCATCCTCAGAATTCCTTGAGGTTCTTTTCGAAATTTTTAGAACTCTATGAGCTCTTTTGAAATACTTCTCAATCTGAAATTATTTTTAGAACTTCTTGACTTTTACTCACAACACCTTGGAACTAAAATTCCCTTAGAGTTTCAGAAGAATTTCCTCAGTATTATCCAGAAATTATTCCCGGAATGAGCTAGAAATTATCGGTACTCCCTTGAAATTTTCCTCAAAATCCTTTTGGAATTACACTCAAAATTTAATTTTCTCGGTATTCTTTTCGGAATTATCTTGGAACTATCAGGATAAACTAGAAATTATTCGCAGAATTTTCTTGGAATACTCCTCAAAAATCCTTTGGAACTGTCTTCAGAATGCAATATTCTTGAGGTTCTTCTCTGATTTTTTTAGAACTTTTCTAAGAACTCTTTTGAAATTCTTCTCAGAAGTCCACTGTTATTATATTAGAACTCTTCGTGATTTTTTTTCTCATAACACCTTGGAACTTAAATTCCTTTAGAGTTTCAAAAAATTTCCCAGAATGAGCTAGAAATTATCCTCGGAATTTGCTTGAAATTTTGCTTAAAATACCTGTGGAATTTCACTCAAAAATTGATTTTCTCAGTATTCTTTTTGAAATTATCTTGAAACTATCTGCAGGATGCACTAGAAGTTATCCGCAGAATTTTCTTTGAAGTCTCGCCAGAAATATTTTGGAACTATCCTTGAGATTCTTTTCGGAATATTTTAGAACTTTTTTTTTCCTATGAACACCTTGGAACTTAAATTTCCCCAAAGTTTCTGAAAAATTTCCTATGTATTCTCCAGAAATTCTTCCCAGAATTCCTTTGAAATTTTCCTTAACATCCCTTGGCAATTTTATTCAAAATTGGATTCTCTCGGTATTCTTTCCAAAATTATCATGAAACTATCTGCAGGATTCACTAGAAATTATTCGCAGAATTTTCATGAAATCATCCCCAGAAATCTTTTCTTTTGGAACTGTCCTCAGAATTCAATACCCTTGAGGTTCTTCTCAGAAATGTTCAATAAAGCTTGCCCCTCCATTCACAAGAACTGTGCAATTTTTACATAAGGAATTTTCAATTCAACTTGCCCTTCCATGCAGCAGATTGTTGCAAATCTTGCACCAGAAATTTTCAATACAAACTTGCCCCCAGGTAATTTTAAACCAGAAAATTTCAATTGACCAGAACGATGCAAAATTTTCACCGTTAATGTTCAATAAAAATTGCTTTTCCAATCTTCTGCTGGGTGCAGATTTCCTTTTTTCATTTTCACCAGACATTTTTAATATAGCTTGCATCTCCTATCATCAGAATGTTACAGGTTTTCCAACAAATATTTTCAGATTTTTCATCATAAATTTTAAGTAAAGCAGTTTCCCTCCAATCATCATGGTGCAAATTTTAAATCAGAAATCATTATTAAAGTTTGTTTCTCTATTTAGCAGAAGGATGCAAATTTAATAACAAAAAAATTCCTAAAAGTTTGCCACCAGAACGGTGCAGATTATCCACCATAAATTTTCTTTTTTTTTTTTTTGTTTATTAATTTATTTGATAAGGCTCAACCGAATTAACTTTACAGAGCCGAGGATTCTTGGTCACTATACAATACATCTTAAAACTATAGTCAAAAGGTACAACACAATAAACACTTTATCTTCCGCTATCCAAAAAGCTTCTTCCATCAGAACTGGAGCCACATCCAGTAGTTTCATTGTATGGCAAATTGTTGTACGCCAACGAGGGTCAGAGCGCGTCCATTGCAGCAATGGACGCAAAACGTGGTCAGCACTCACACACTCATCACGAAACGGTTGCTTTCCAAAGTCGACGACGCATCGACCGAAAGAACTGCTGATGAAGAACAATGAGGAGGACCACACAATGGTTGCTGCCGAGAAAACAGACGATCGCGTAGCACACATCGAGAGTGGCCTGCTTTTGTCGACAGCCGAGTGAACACTGCCATAAATTTTCAATATTGATTAATTTAAAATAAAACTTGTGCCTTAATTTACCATACCAGTGCAAGTTTTCAACCAGAAATATTCTGTTCTGTTGCTCTTCGATGCACCAAAAATTGTCAGTGAAGTTTGTGGTGCAATTTTCAGGCTTTGTCTCTTCATGCACCAAAATGGTGCAAATTTTCCACCATAAATTTTCAAAAAAGCTTGCATTCATCAAAACGATGCAAATTATACACCAGAAAAATGAATAAACCTTGCTTCTACATTCACCACAGTGTTGCGAACTTTCCACCAGAAATTTTCAGTTAAATGTGCACATCCAAATGTTTTGATTTTTCCACCAGAGTTATAAAAGGTGGGGCAATTGCCCCAGCTTGCCCCACCCTGTGCACGCCAGTGTGCATAATGCACAATGTTGAGGTGTTCTGAATTTCAATTGTATCGTGAACGAACTTTCAAGCGGTTGACAAATTAATGGCCCTAGGCTTTTTATTTGGTGGAAAAATACCAACCAATAACCATAATAATTACCACACTGGAAAACTACATCGCTTGTCATCGTTAATGTTTAACGACTACAATTTTAACGCAACGCATCATTCATCTCTCAACGGTGCCGGTGGTGTAGTGGTAAGCGTGATTACCTCTCACCCCAGCAGGCCTGGGTTCAATCCCAGTCGGCGCCGCCGGGATGTTCTGAGGCATAACATCTCTGATCACGCCTTCCTTCGGATGGGAAGTAAAGCCGTTGGTCCCCGGTTCATGAGTTGATGGGTCGATAGGTAGGGTCTAGGTGTGGGAGCTGCCTTCCTAGCACGTCGGTAGCATTGGTGCTCAGCACGGAAAACAAGATCGACGGAAAAAACAAACCAAAGGAAAAAAAAAAAATCATTCATCTCAAACCATCAAAAAATCTATCGAAATCAATTGCATCGCCAGCAGAAGGTTGATGAAAAAACATTACCGCAGGAAAATATTGAGCGGAGGAATGCCACACGAACTCAGCCAACCGATCCGTTGCTGATGCTGCTGAATTGCCTGCTCTGTCATAGCATACCGAAAGGCGCACACTCACTCTCTGCCCGTGCTTATTAATCTGCCATAAATTACACAACTCATTATCGTTCGGTCCATATCGTTCGAATATACGCAATTAATTCAATTACTAGGCGACAGCGTGTTATCAGAGCTTAATGAAGAGGAACTCCGGACCGAATGTGTCTTCGCCGGGGAGCATGAATTTTCTATTCCACTTTTATTCCCGTGATAACGAGCAAACGATATGCTAATTGCAAATCGATATCACGGCAGCAGAGCTTTGTCAGGCAATGACTTGGAGGCATATTTATTGATGAACAGAAGACGCTGTGGATTGACTCAATATTGCCGCACGGGATGGATGATTATCTTTGGATTAGTCATAAACTGATGGATTCATTACGTCATTGCTGGCGAGCTCATGAACAGATTTTGATCTTAATATAAAAATTAACCAATACTTCTGGAGATTACTCCGCATACTAGTAACATACAGCCATGGATCGAGTGGAATGGAGATGACTGCGACTTCTAAATGCAGCACAGTAGCCGTTAGGTAAATGCTAAAAGATCAATGATTTTTTTTAAAAAATATAAGATATTTCGACCAGGGCATACGCATTTTTGGAATAATGTTTCTATTTTGACATGCTTGATTGACGACAAATAAATATTTCAGTAAAATTTGAGCGAGTTGGCAATTGCTTACTGTCCTCTTATTTATTCTTAAATTTGTGTGGATGACTTTCAGTTCGGAATAAATTAATTTAAAAGATTTCACAAAAACTCTGTAACATTCTACACAACTAATACTTTCCTTAAATGTAAAGTTTATACGAATGGATTGCACTGTGTGACCGTTCTAGTACCCCTCAGGTATCAGCTCCCTAGTTAAACCTGTAGGTCACGACCTTCACGCACTCTGCCTGTGTACCTCGATAAGGCGAGCAGACTCCCTGTTCGGCATTATCTCATTTTAGACGACGATGAACGAGTTGTGGACTTTGTACCCGGTTCTCTGAGCGCGGTGTGCTTTCGCACATTTTCGCATCATAGCGCATAGGCCAATAATAACAAACCTTGCCTACTACAACTGCATACTCATGCTCGATCAGTCAGCCACCAAGCAGGTCGTGGTGTTTGTGATGCTCGAAAGGAGCTGGCTTTCATTACTCGATCGCAGATCGTGCGTTCAAGAAACGAGAGAGATCGATTGAAGACAGAGATGCTGAGAGTTCTGTTCCAAAACATTTAAACCGGATATGTACATTCATAAGATAACCCAAAATTATCACTGAGACTTGAAAATATTCCATTGAAGCAGTCATTTACTCAATGATCTACTATCTCAGTTTATTTTATTTTATTTTTTCCTTGATTTTGTTTTCGTGCTGAGCACCAATGTTACCGACGCCAGCAAGGCAGCTCCCACACCTGGATCCTACCGACCCATAAACTCACGAACCGGGGACCAACGGCCAACGGAGATGTTCCCGGCGGCACCGACTGGGATTGAACCCAGGCCTGCTGTGGTGAGAGGTAATCAAGTTTACCACTACACCACCGGTGCCGCTTATCTCAGTTTATATCACACGTCCATTACTAACCAGCCGCAAGTCATCGCGTTGAGATAAACCCAAGGTACCGCATCTTACAGGGGCTCACCTAGCTTGTTTTTCTCCAGTACAATCGAGAGAAGTAGCTTAGCCCACTCGAAAAGAGCGTGTGTGTCTCAGTCAGTCGGTGGCTGTATTCAAACGTAGTAGCACACTTTGCCCAGATAGTAAAACAATAAAGTAAAAAAAAAACAAGTCACTGTACCTATCTGCGGTAATCCAAGTAGGTTAGATTGTTAGTATACCCTCGACGTGCTAGCAGAGCGGTTGAAACAAGTTCTCGCGGTTTCTGAAGTGTGTGCACGGTGTCATATCAATCCTTCGAAATGTCAGAACTCACGACGTTTATCTATGGACTGTTGATATTCTTCATTTTTGTCCCATTTCTACGATGGTGGGTCAAGCGGGCTCGCCTAGGGCAGATCATCGATAAAATACCCGGACCCAAAGCGTACCCATTCATTGGAACAACGTATACATTCTTCGGGAAGAAGCACTACGGTGAGTGGAGAAAGGCAACCCTGCAAATTATTATTGGTGATTTACTGTTGCGTAAAACTTTCGCAGACCGGTTGGAGCTCGGCAAACGAAGCCACAGTGCCGTTGAAGAAAACCAGCGAGGAACGTTGAGTGATTTGGTTCAAAAATAGCTCACGATATCGGTGAGATCTATTTTAGGCCCAGTAATTACATCGTTCGACAAAAGAGATCATATTGAAAGCGATTCATTATAATGCAATTATCTACACGTGATACTAATTAGGTATTCCAGACAGTGTGGAAACCACCTACTGAATGAGTCCGGTTATAAATCTACATGTCTTTAAATGGATTACAAGTAATTTATAATCTTCAGTGACTCAAGTCCTGCAAATACAATGGTTCATTGTAATCTGTAAAGTGGGTGACAGTAGGTGACTGGGTGACAGAGGCATGATCTTATCTAAGATTTGTCAGTATCTGCTATCAATATAAGAAAGACGGCATATGTGAACGATTGATTTGTATTCTGTCAATTATTAGGTCACCCAAAATATCAGTTACTATCCCGGCAAGACGGATGTCAAAAAGTGTTGAACAAGGAACTCAATTCTAATCTCCTTAGAACAATGGTACATCTAAAAGTTCTATCTGGGGAAATGATTTTTTTTATAAATGATGTGTTCAAAAAAATCGTGCTTATTGTTTTTCTAAATATTTTTTTTTTTCATGCCTTTATTGGTATGACAATAATCGTGGACCCTTTCTACGATTATTGTCATAAAGTTATTGGAGTAGATCTTTGTGTTGAGATTTGAGCAGAAATTTTCAATTTGATCCAGTTGAAACTAGTGCTGAAAATTATCGTATTGTATCTTTGTAGTATAATGTAAAGATTAAATGTACTCGTTGCGCTTTTTCCAAATTAGAAACATTGGTTCCATATTGTAGCTAAGGGTATTTCCGTTGATAGTGTATGTAGTTTTTATTTAGTATGTTTAACATATTTTACAAACATATTAAAAAGCAATTTTCGTGTTTTTCGCCTGTTTGAAAAGGCACTCAAACCATCATTTCTAGATAGAGCTGGAATTAGGGCGTAACAGCCTTTGTAAACAATGACTTTTATCGATGATTTCTAGGATTTCTAGTTCTGGCTGGGGAAAAGATTTTCTTTATGAATGATGTGTTTAAAAAAATCGTGCTTATTGTTTTTATAAATAATTTTTTTTCATTCCTTTGTTGGTAACTATTTGACAGCTAGCTTGGCCCATTCCACGATTTTTGTCACAAAATTATTGGAGTAGATCTTTGTGTTGAGATTTGAGCAGAAATTTTCAAATTGACCCAGTTGAAACTAGTGCTGAAAATTATCGTCACTGCATAAGCTTGAGGTAGAGTCGATGTATAATGAGTCACGCCAAGAGTGAAGCTAAGTCTACCTAATGAACTATCAAACCGGCTACCTATCGTGCAAAGTAAACAAACATTACGATGCTATGAAAGGTTCACGAAAGGTATTCTAATAAAATATAAAATATAATCGAAGAAATGATCATAAACACGCAATGAGCATTGAATTGTCATGGGATACGTTTGCTAATGATCAGTAATGAGAATTTCTACTATTTTTTGTTAAGATAATTTGAAAAAATCACTGATATAATGATTTACTACAGCCGCTATTTTTTCTCGCTAGAAGTCATTTGAAGTTGATGTAGAAGTCCTCTGTTGCCAAGTGAAAATAAAGGGAATCTTTCGAAAACCGTGATGCGCGTTCAACTGTTTTTCTCTTGGGGTGATTCATTATACATCGACTCTTGTTAACGATTAAATATTTTATTTAAAAAGCCAAATTATTTTTCTCCTCTCAGTCTTCTTCTTCTTCTTCCTCGGTTTTCAAGCTTCCCAACAAACAATTCAAAGTCACAAATAAGCATACACATTGAATAAATGTTGTATAACAGTGTACAATGCTGAATAAAACAGGATGTCGAATTATGTGCTGAAAAAAGCTCATTGAGATCGCCGATTGTTCTGATATGATTAATTTCCTTATTAAAAGCTTTATAAACGTTGACTGTCTTCCTTATTCAGAACCAGGAGTTTAATCTAATAACAAACTGAATAAGTGTAATTTGCACATACATTGTCGCTTTAATTCGACTGTTTTCAATTGATTGAATAAAATGCTTTATTAAACGTCTTAAAAATGTTTTGTAGCTCCATTATTAGATTTCATTGCATTGCTTTACAATATTGCTGTATAAAGGTGAATACACTCAGCAATATAGCTCTTATACCACCCAACAAACAATTCAAAGTCACAAATAAGCATATATATTGAATAAATGCTGTATAACAGTGAACAATGCTGAATAAAAAGAGTTGTCGAATTATGTGCTGAAAAAGCTCATTGAGATCGATAGATGCACATTTAATCTGATTAATTTACTAATTAAAAGCTGTAAAACTGTTAAATGTCTTCCCAATTCAACGCCAGAAGTTCGATCTAATAACAAACTGAATAAGTGTAATTTGTACATACATTGACACATTCATTCGACTGTTTTCAATTGATTTAATAACATGCTTTATTAGACGTCTGATAAATGTTCTCCAGCCCCTTTATTAGATTTCATTGCATTACTTTACAATATTGCTGAATAAAGGTGAATACAGTTAGCATAATACCTCTTATACCACTATGCGTCCATGTTGTAATCACATGATTTGTAAATGCTTTATAAACGACGTATTAGATTCATTATTCGACAACACTGATTCAGTCTTACAACAAGGCGAAATAAGTAGAATAGTGGTTATCGTTTCCGCTTTTCAATAAGAAGGTCGTGAGGTCAGTCCCAAGCTCAGCCCTTTTTTTTATTTGTGTAGAACATAATTAATTTAAATAGTAATCATCGATCACATGACTCACGATAATGAATGCATTGATCTAGTTTGAAATATAGCCGAGCATCCTTTCTTTCGACTTGGAGATGTGAAGAGGCAACATTGGTCTCATTTAAAACAACGATGATTGAATGTATCATTCCCACAGGGTCTTCAAGGAGCTAGAGTTGCGATCGGGAGTGCTGATAGGTATTTACTTTCATGCAAGCTTTTATTGATTATTGAGTTGCCCATATGATGAATTCTAGGATAGCTCAGATTACAAGGCAAGCGGCTGGTGATCGGAAGGTACATGGTTCGAATCCCATACAACGACATGTATAATTATATAATACATTTTCTAATATCTGAGTGGTGCGAGCCACGGCAGAAATAATGAAATACAATACATTTAAGAAACACACCCTTCCCCCTGTCCCCGTCCTTCTTATTTTCGGGTTAATTTTCCCACAGTTTAATAATCGTTTAATAAATGTATAATAATGTCTAATTTAACGTTACTTCACTTGAGAATCAAGCGTAAACAGAGCATCACGGTTTTAAGGAAGCAGTGATGTCTAATAAACGCTGAATAATCAAAAATGTTATCGTATAAACTCTGTTACAACTCATATAAGTCGAATAAAAGCTTCTTGACATACCTTATACAACACCAGTAGTTCAATGTTGTGGTTGAATAAATTCTCCAGATTTGTGTGAACAAAGCCTGAACAGAAATTATTATTAAAAATAGTACAAGTACTATTAAGCATGCAGTTGAATAAAATGGCCAACAAGTCGTTTCTTCAATAGACGATTGTTTGTTGGGTTATTGCGTATGGCATATTAGCTTTTTGCGTACTCTCAACTTAGTGTTCTAGATGCACTTCCACAGTTATTAATTGAGAGCTTTCAATGCCTGCTACCATTTTTGCATTAGTATAATTGTGTGGCAAGTACAATCATACTCTATGCCCAGGGAAGTCGAGAAATTTTCCAACCCGAAAAATTCCTAGACCGGACCGGGAATCGAACCCAGCCACCTCCAGCATGGTCTTGCTTTGTAGCTGTGCCTTTACCGACTGAGCTAAGGGAGGTCCCATTCTCCTTTAAGTACAATTTGTATGAAATATAGAAAAAAATATTCAGCTAAGCTTCCGGTTGACTGAATCTGAATTGCTAGGTCCTTCTTTTAACTTCTGCCATCAGATTCTGAACACCCGAGGTGTCCACTTTGTTTGCCGCAGAACGCCAGTTTGCTTTAAACTGCTTCTCGCTTCCAATCGTTTTTTGGGTCTTCTTCAGGTGCCGCTTGACAATGGCCCATTATTTTTGGATTGGGCTGAGCTCTGGCGTGTTGGGAGGGTTCTTGTCCTTGGGCACCACCAGCACGTTGTTGGCGGCATACCACTCCATGGCAGGATGTCAAATCCGGTCAAAACAGCATGGAACAATCGTGTTGCTTCAGTAGAGGCAGCAGTCGTTTTGAATTGAATTTATATATTTATTTATTTCGTCAAGCCAGTGTAGACTACATACAATGATTATTACAATGTTTACTTACATACTATGTATTAATTCTATTCTGTTTTAGCTTAGTTTTTATTTGCTGCTTGGACATAGTGATGTCAATAGTTCCGCAATGCAAATTATATAGGCGTATCATTCCATTGATTGGGCTATTTTTTGCATAGTTTGTTTTTTTATCCATTAACTTATTATATGCCTTACAACTCAAACGCGTTAGCTTTACGGAGCCGATTCTTACAGTTTTTCATAAATTTTATATAAAAGAGTTTATAAAATTAGTTCATTTTTCCTAGAAGCCGGTTGTTTGGTGTTTACTTTCTCTCGCGGCCGCAGTTTTCTTCTTTCTTCCCTTTTCTGTGTTTCAATAGCAGTTTTCAATTTCTTCGCGATCAAGAACAATGGATGGCTTTCGGTCTCAAGCTGACTTCCTCTTGCTGCTTCTTGTTCTTCTTCCATGTCCGGGGTCGTCTCATCGATTGCCATAACTTCTTCATCGAACACCTCAATAGCATCCGCAGAAGCATCGCCGGCTAAAACACCCGCATATGATGTACAGGTATCCACGCTGCTAACATTTTGGGCTTCGTCCGGGTCACGTT